AAAAAAAAAAAAAAAAACAGGACCCTCCCCGGCCTGTGGGTGCAGGTCGTCTAGGTGAAGCTCGAGCCTGCCAGAGTCGGGTTCATGGTCGTGGGCCCTTTTTTTGCGGGGCGTGGGGGATGTAAGGGTTTCTGGCTTGGAGCTTCGGCTTTCGGCTTTTGGGGCTTTTTTGGGCCTAGGAATTTTTTGGTCGTGGGATCTGCCCTCTCTTTGTCCTGTAGATCGATGCCTGGGCTGCGAACTGCAGGTTTGGAGGGCCATGAACAGGTTTTTGGGGATCTAGGGAGGGTTCTGGGGCCCATTGTGTCTGTGTCGACGTTGGGCTTGAAACGACTTGTGACAAGGCGGTTCTGCTCTCTGCCAAGCTGGGCAGGCAGAGGGAAGGTTGGGAACTAGGAACTTTTGGCACGGAGCAAGCACCTCTGTGGAGGGCAACATTGCCCATTGCGTGCAGCATATGTTGACGAGCACTCTTTGCTGTTCGCGATGGCAGGCATGCTTCGTGGTGGGGAGATGGTTGTGAGATGCTTTGTAAGAACCTTTGCTTGTTCTTGTTTCGGATACAAGTTCCCCCCCCGCTCCCCCCAACAGATGCGTAGCCGAGGGGCAGTTTGCCGTCCCGTAGCACTGTCATGTCGGCCTGAAGCGAGCTTACCAAACTAGAGCACGACGACCGAATAGTCATGAGTATCGTGGACGACTGTCAATGTGCTCGAAATGAGAATGTTCGGACCGGGCTTCCGTGAAAGCTAGCAGTGGAAGTCCATATTCATGCATGTCCTCCGACATGCCATTATCTTCGCCACGAATGTGCAAGGAAGCGCGAGAATCTGCACAGACGGTACCCGGCACACCATGGAAGGCCGCAAGATTCAAGCATTACTTTCCAGGTTGGTTGAGGCCACATGTTGCTTCTGTCAGAGTGCAACCTTGAAAGGCATCATGGCCCGTTTGTCATACCTGCTTGCCAGAATCTCAGTGCGTCTGAATCTCATCTACCTCTCAGCACCGCGCAGGTTCGCCATAGAATTTTTGAGCGACCTTAGAAATGCAACCGGCGAAGTGGTGCACCGATTTAAGTTGGTCAGGCTAGATCGAAAACAACCCTGAATATTGCCGAACAATCTAGCAGAACAGCGGCCGCAGAAACAGTACGGCTGGCAGAGCCTACGCGAAGCCTAGCAACAAGCAGAAGCCAGCAAGCCACAGTAGCGAACAAGACCGAGGCTAATTGCCCGGCAAAAGAAGCAACTGCACGAACGACTCGTAAAGGGAGCCAACACGGTGGAGCCTGAACCACATGGTTTCAAGAACAGAGTCGTTTGCTAAAACAGGTAACGTGATGCTCGACAAACACAGTGGCAAACTGACGTACCAGCTTAGCGCAACAGCATCAACACGCGCTTCATCATGAAGAACAGCTGTTTATGTGGTATGCTGGAGGACAACATCCTCAGCATCAGCAACCTCTCCAAATCCAACAGCTGCTGCTTCAGAAACAGCCTGAGCAACCCCCTGCTTTGCAAACATGTCAGCACCACTATTAATTCGGACTCTAAGGGCATGCTGAGACTGAAACCTGCATCCTCCAAATCCAAACTCATGTTCAGGCCCAGTGGTTGAAGTGAAGTGGCATGTACAGAGCAATGGTCCGAACACACACAGATCCAAACCCCCCAAAAAAACCTGAAGCAGCAAACCTCCCTCAGAGTGTCTAGGAAGCGAACGAGCCATGAGAAAGCGACGCGCTCGTGCCTTGGGCAGGGTGTCTTACCGATCCTAGGGCCCCCCTTTTTCGATGGATGTATGTAAGTATCCATGTATGTACGCATGGATGTATGTAGAATATGCACATCTCTGCGCCTGACCAAACTGTCCGAAACCCATCCGCCATCACCTCTACCCCTTGCTCTCCTGCCCGAGCCTTGCTACAATTTCGCAGCAACAACTGATGTTGATTCATGTTGTTATTTGCCACTGCTGCAAAGCGGACCACTCTGATTTCTATGGCTCTGCTGGGTCAGCTTCACAGAGCACGTGTCGGTGCAGCAATGCAAAAGAACACACAAGCCACTGCTGCTACGGACACGTGCCCTGTGAAGCTGACTCGGTAGAATCAAAGTGGTCCGCTTTGCAGCACATGCAGGAAAGCCATATGTGCCCGCAAACTCCCATATTCCAAGGGCCCAGGCTTCCGAAACATGATGGTGCCATCGTTGGCAATCGGTTCCTGCGACTGGACTGGCCGTGCGAAGTATAGGTCTGACAGCTGAGATCTGAGTATTGCAGGATCCATTGCAGCACTGCTCAGAAATGGTGATCGAACCCCAAGATTCCATGGCTGCACTTCTCTTAATGGGCTGGAGCGGCAAGACATGGAATAGATTGGCAGTGCCAGGCAAATCAGACGTCGTTTCCTGTAGATGAAGGAGCTATGCTGTGTGCGGACTGTCATTAGCATCTTGCGCCATCTGAGCAAGCAGAGGCCCGACCGGCCCGACCCGTCTTTCATCTTTCAGAGATGTAAATAAGGCCCCCCCCCAAGCATCAAACGCTGATGATGAAACTGATACCAGTACATCTAGAAATCTTGCATCCCTAATATAGTACCCCAAATAGTAGGATCCTTATTATAAGAACCCAAAACATATAGTACCCCTAATGCCTTGTCAAAGGAGAGGAGCACATCCCCCAGCTGCAGCCTTGGCAGGGGAGGCTGCATCTGACGTTGGACGATCTTCGAGAGTGACGGCATAGGGCCTAGGGCCTAAGCCACTTCAAAGTCTGTGCCACTCACATACCCTTCTTAATCGCCCACTATATAATAGAATATAATATAATATAACATAGAATATAGAATATATAATATATAATATACAATATAGTATAATTGAGTAGCATATAATAGAATATAATCGAATATTATAGAATATAATATACTAGAATACACCCCATGCAGCTGCCTTCAGTCGAATCCTGCGGACGAGTCGCACCTTTGCCACTGCGCAGGTCGGTGCGATACGGTTGACCAGCAGGCCTCGACTCGAAATTCCACAAAGGTCCGTGACAAGTCACCCTTAGACTCGAAACCCTAAACCTGGGGGCCGAGTACCCTAGCCCAAAAAAGGTTCACCTTTGAACTTATGGTTAAAGGTTACCTACTCAGCCCCTGAGTCAACCCAAAACCCAAAAACCCTGAACCCTAAGCCCCTAATCCCCGAACTACAACTCTGTGGGCTGGCAGGAGGCTTTCCTGCATTGGATACTTGTCAGCAGCTCTCCATCTCTAAGAGACCACTTCTCGCCATAACCTAGAGTTACAAGAAAGCAGCTTTAGTACCACTGACCAACATCACAACCAGGACAACACTGGTTCCTTCTTGGGGCTATATTAAAAATGCTCATTGTTAATCCTTCTTGGGTTTTTATTGTCACAAAAATCTGTAACTTTGTATCGAGCAGGGACCCAGAACCAGCAAAAACGCTGCGAAAGATCCAAAAAGACCTGGCGCCTGTTGCCTTTTGCAGGAGGAGCCCCAGGCCTTTCTGCTTCGCCGTCATCCCAAAGGCCTCGTCGGCTCTGCGGGGGTTTAGGGCTTTTTTTACAGGATCTTTCAGGGGATCGTTGAGAGGTTTGGGGTTTAGGGTTTTGGGGTTTAGGATTTCTTAGGGTTTAGGGCTTTAGGGTCTTAGGGTTTAGGGTTTGTATGTATGTGGTGTAATATTGGGCTTCGTCAGAGCCAGCAGGGGGACTTCAAGGCCGAGCCCTCAGCCCCCAAGCATCCGGAAACTGCAGAACCGACAAAAAGAACGCCCAAAAATTGCTTAAAAAAACGCCCGCCACCTGTTCTAAAATCCCTGGAGCCCCCCTCGAAAACCGAGAAAAATCCGTTGCGAGCATCCTCCTAAACACTAAACCCTAAACCCCTACACCCTAAACCCCTAAACCCTACCTCACGGAGCTGTGCATTCTCCATGGTTTGCGTCTCGATGCCCAGGGTGGGGAAGCCGGTGTAGGTCCTGGCAAAGGTGTAGGTAAGTTTAGGGCTTGGGGTTTTGGGGTTTAGAGGTTTAGGGTTTAGGGGTTTAGGGCATTGGGGTTTAGGGGTTTAGGGTTTCTCGGAACTTGCCTGCGGAACATGCTGGACTTCCTCTTCGGGCATGAGGCTTGAATTCGCGAGACTCTCCGACAAGCTGAGGCTCACACAGAGAAAAAAAGGCCCTGCGAGAAGGCCCGGCTTCTTCTCTGCTTGCAGCTGCCCCAGTCTGTAATTCCCCAATCCCTTGCAACAGGGCCCCAATCCGCCATCCCAGCACAGGCGGGCCCGTTGTGCTTCAAGAGGTCGCTGAGAAAGTGCATGATCACCTGAGGTCTCTGAAATCCGTTGGGACTTACCAGGGCCCGACGACTGGCTACTCAGGCACTTACCTGTCATGGTTCTGAGTTTGGGAGTCTTCTGATTTGCAACCTTCCCTCTTCTTCCTGCTTGCGTGCTGCTAGCTGGATCACATTTCGGGCATCTGCTATTACGTACTCCACCATTGCAAGTGCTGCTTTTGCCTCAGTTTTCCGAACTGTTCAGTTTATTCCTGCTGCTACTGACCCTACCCTACCCTGCAAACAGACTCAAAAGGAAAATGAACTGCGATCACCCAAGCACCTAGACCCTGCATCCTAAACGCACCGGGCTTCCTACCACCGTCGGGATCACATAGCCGATGTTCTCGGCTTGGTCGGAAGATAGGCTTTGGAACCTGCGGAAAACCGCTGCTGCCTCCAGCTCTTCTTCTGAGACTTCCCCAGCTACGGTGATGTTGCTGCTGCTGCTGGTGATGATGATGACGGCGATGATGATGATCATCATCATCACCATCGTCATCATGTACAGTATAGTTAGTACGACCAGCAAGGGGGGCCTTGGCTTTCAGAAGGCGCTGCTGCTGAGACTTGAGACTGCAGTCGACCCCCCAGGCGATGGACGCCGAGGGCACTGCAACGTGCAACCATCCGCGAATGAACGGCATGCTCCTATTGAGAAATGGAAACAGTAAGAGTGCAGGCTGTGGAGGTGTACATGCCCGAAGATTGGAAGAAGCGCTTGAACTGCAATCAGCCCCCCGAGACCACTCTCACAATCCAGCCAGGCCCACGCCATTCCCAGACACTCGCCGTTGGCATTAAAGGCGGGTCCTCTCACGACGGCTCCAGTACGAACTTAGACGGGCCTGTTGAACAAGACCTGGGTTCGCGGGTGTGTTCATCAGGCCGAAATGAAGTTCAACTTCCTCAGCCCCTGATTCATGCAGCCCATGTACAACTCACGAGCCATACATCCACAACTTCTTGGAGAAGCAACGACAGATAGACGGAGGGAGAGAGACAGAGAGCGAGAGAGCGAGAGGGAGAGAATGCGAGCGGCGAGCGGCGGCGAACGATAAGTGCCAACAACCATATGCAGACAAAAAGACACACACACACACAAATACATGCATACATCCATGCATGTGTGCATACATGCATGCTGCATGCAAGCAAACACATGGACGTAATGTCTGCCGGGTCTACCTGTCAGTATAGTGCGCTACAGCAGAAGCTTGCAAAAGACAGAGATGCCACAGTAGTGATCGTGGTGCCCAGGGCTGGGGAGAGTAGCTGCGTCCCGCCAAAACGGTATTGGCGACAAGACAAAGGGGTGAATAAATACACGATTTTCCTTGTCGGGGTGCTACACTTCAAGTATACTCGGCAATCCTAAGGAATGAATCGGATAGTGGTCAATAGCGATTTCCAGCGACTCCACCCGAAGCCCCTTGCCTCCTGCGGCCGGCGACGGCCTGCAAGCCCTTTCTGACGAAAGCAAAAACTCCACAAATGTGGAAAGTCTGACCCCTAAACCCTAAACCCTCCCCCCTAAACCCTAAACCCGTTCCTCCGCTGTTGCCGCTATTGATGGCAGCGTCAATTTGAATCCCCAGGAGCTCGGAGCATGTCTGGGCCTCTCTGCGATGCTTTTAAGGGCTTTAGGGATGCTTAGGGGTTTAGGGGTTTAGGGTTTCAGGTTTCGGGGTTTCGGGGTTTGGGGGTTTAGGGTTTGGGGGTTTAGGGTTTAGGGCAAGTTTAGGGGTTTAGGGTTTGGGGTTAGGGCTTAGTCTTCCGAGGGGGGGCGAGTTTACCCCAGCCCAAAAAAGGTTAACCTTTGAACTTATAGTAGGGCTTTATAAGCCCCAAAAGTTCATAAATGTTACCTACTCAGCCCCTAAGTCTTGGTGAGAACGAATCCGTCAGATCCACCAGCAAAGAAGGCACCGCTGGTGAATTTTGGCACCATGCCATGCTGCAGGCGCTGGGATTAGGGCTTAGAGCCAGTTTGGGTCTAATTGTTCACTCTATACATTCGGGTGGTCTTCCAGCAAAGTGCACTCCAAGGCAGGGGCATAAGTCATGACCTCGACCCGCGACACGACCTGCTGACGAGAACATGTGGCATAACCCCGGATCCCAAGCACTGAAGGCCATCAGAACCCAGGAGGCTCGCTGCAGGTGCGCAGTGATGCGGTATAAACATGCAAGTTCTCAAGCTCAGCTCTGAAAAAAAGAAGCCGCAGCCATGCTCCAATCCTGAAGACATGATGCAGCAGTGGCCAAGGCTTAGAGCAACATCCACAAGAACAGCAGCTTCTTAGTATCAATATAATCCCTAAACCCTAAACCCAATATAATAAGCAACCCCTGTGGATAAGATTCGTATTTACCAGAATGATCTGAACCGAGAAGTCCGACCCCACTGGTGACGCTGATGGTGTCGCCGCCAACAGGGAAGCCGACACAAAGGACGTGCTCCTGCTGAAGCCACAGAAGCTACGCGGCTTTGCTTGGCAAGCTCAGGTCTTGTGGCTTTTGGGCTTACGCCGGTTTAAGGATGAATTTCGGGGTTTAAGGCTTGGAGGCTTTAGGCCTTTGAGCCTTTGGGAACTAGCTGGTCTGAGCTCAAAAGGGGATTGGCATCGAAGCCACGCCTTTGGCAACACGGCAACTCCTCCAGATGCGGGACTTTCTTGCTCAGCTGGACCTCGGTGAAGGCAGCTCCGCGCAAATCCCTGCAAGACTTGGATGCTTGCAGATTCGCCTCTAGCAGATCTTTCTTCGGAGCTCGGCAATTGTGAGCAAGTCGAGGGACTGCCAAGCGCAGTTTTGACTGGAATCGAGGTCTGGACGGCTTTTATGTTGCGCCAGAACTCATCGTCCTGGAGTGCACGTGGCATCAGACTCGCAACCGTATTGGCACAGTCTCTTCTTCCTCGACACTCTCACCGCAACCCTCTTCCGCCTCATCATCAGCACCATCCTCGTCATCATAGCCGCAGCAGAAACAACAACATTATCATCACCACCATCATCATCAGCTGCGAAATCTTCTCTTGTTCTTCATCACTATCGTCGTCAACATGCCACCGGTCTTCAACCAGCAGCGAAGAATCAGCCGCAATCACACTGCTTCAGAAATCGTTGTAGGAAATTGAGCCTCTTTGGCAGCCGTGTAAAGAAAGCAAACCGCACAAATTGAAACTGAGAACTCCAAGGTACCCTTACCCTGACCTCGGCGCGAGAATTTCATATTCTGCTCTTATCGATCGATCTTCGCTAGCTTTCTTCGAAGTCCTGTCCAATTAAGAAGTTGCATGTGGGTTGATAAATCCAGGCTGCCCGCAAGTCCGGAAGCTTTGTACGCTTGTAACTACAACATCCAGGATACCCTCACCCAAAAGTGACAGTTTCTTAGGCGTCGCTGTCGCCGTACCAGCCATGCGACCACGACGATGACGACGGGTAATCCACGTTCTACCACGACGACTATGCTACTACTGATGATTTGCTGCTACTAGGACCGCTCGCAGTAGCAGGATGACTATAGTCTGTGACGAGGCTCTTTGCAACTCTCACCTTTTACATACGCCTGGAAGCTCCGAATCCTGCCACCCAGTTTCCCGCTGCCTCTACAGTGAGAACGGCGCAGTCCGCCTGACACCAAGACAAACAGTCGGGCAGTTCATGCGCTTGAGCGATGGCAGCATTCACCCACGGAACGCATGCTCCGAAACTAACCGGAACAAAGGCATGATCTTATTGCCCCAGTGGTGCGTCACAGAAAGGCTTTCAGATTGTGCTTACGCAGCGCCTTGCATCTGGGAGTCAGCTGACATGAACAAACACTTCTGAGCAATCATCTGCGCGTGAATTCATGCGAAGTTGTGGCCCCACCATGCTTTTTCCTGTTGCGACTAAACATGCCTGGCCTCCCATCCAACTGATACGACACGAGCCAAGTACTTCGTATCTTGGCCTGGCCGAATGCAAGAGCGTCACACTAATCTGACATGCAACTGCTATTGTCCTGTACATCTTTCGCTTGCAAGGTAATGATGACAAACAGAAGGAAGCTTGCGGCTTTCGACCCTGACCGACTTCAAAATCATGATTTGGGGTACTTTGCTGACACTGGACGGGTACATACCGGAGTGTAGCAAGGTGTGCAGTAGGTGTCATCATGAACATCGATGGGATTCGCATCATAGAACCGTAGAAGAAAGGGGGCAGGCTGCCTGCCGCAGCGAACGCACCCAAGATTCGCGAGGGGAGGGCTTTGAGGCCGTGCGGGCAGGCTGCCCGCAGCAGTGAATGCACCCCAAGATTCGCGAGGGGAGGGCTTTGAGGCGTGCGGGCAGGCTGCCCGCAGCAGTGAAAGCACCCAGGATTCGCGAGGGGAGGGAAGCGGTGCGGGCAAGCTGCCCGCAGCAGTGAATGCCATCCAAGATTCCGGAAGGGAGGGCTTTGAGGCCGTGCGGGCAGGCTGCCCGCAGCAGTGAAAACACCCTGCAAGGGGAGGGAAGCGGTGTCGGCAAGCTGCCCGCAGCAGTGAATGCCATCCAAGATTCCGGAAGGGAGGGCTTTGCGGCCGTGCGGGCAGGCTGCCCGCAGCAGTGAATGCCATCCAAGATTCGCGAGGGGAGGGCTTTGAGGGCGTGCGGGCAGGCTGCCCGCAGCAGTGAAAGCACCCTGCGAGGGGAGGGAAGCGGTGCCGGCAAGCTGCCTGCAGCAACAAGATTCGCAAGGGGAGGGCTTTGAGGCCGTTCGGGCAGGCTGCCCGCAGCAGTGAAAGCACCCTGCGAGGGGAGGGAAGCGGTGCGGGCAGGCTGCCCGCAGCAGTGAATGCCATCCAAGATTCCGGAAGGGAGGGCTTTGAGGCCGTGGGGGCAGGCTGCCCGCAGCAGTGACTGAGAATGGACAATACATCGGTGCATCGTCGCGATGATGCAAGGATTAATAGGAATAAAATGGACAAGGGTCGTCCTTGTTGCTGCAGAAGCAGAAACGGTCAACCTGGATTCTGGGCGAAATACATCATGGAAACATGCATGGATCTTACATTGTGTTATGCAGGCCAACTCCCTCCCTCTCTCTCTCTCTCTCTCTCTCTCTCTCTCTCTATATATATATATGCACCAGCCTGCTCAAAACCATGACCTGGGGCGGGGGTTCGGAGTATTCCCCAAGTTTGCATCTCCGCCCCCGTCCCTCCACCTTATGTACATGGAAACCCCATTCCTGCTGAGCTTCCGCGCCTCGCTGCTGCACTTTCACCTGCGCGTGCCACTCGATGCAGTGGGCATTGGTCAGGATGACCTGAGTTTCCGAGCGAAGCAGTTGCTGAATGCTCCTACTCCCAATCTGGGACTTGCGTTTCGGTCGGGGCCGCGCCCAACTGCCTGAATCGCCTGAGTCTGCATTGCACAGAACACCACTGCTCCTGGGGGCAAGGCCCGGCGACTTGTGTCTATGATGAAGCCACTGCCACCTTTGCTGTGTTATCCATGCACTAAGAACATGAGGCGAGCCTCGCTGGCCGGTTCCAAGACATACACATGTCCGACACGCCAGACCAGCACTCCGAATGCTGTGCTTCCCGGCTGGAGCGATACTGCCGCCGTCTCTGCCTCAGTCTCTGCGCGTCTCACACTGGATTCTGAGACCCAAGCGACCCGAATACGTAGGCAGAAACACTTCGATGGTCAGCTGGCTCAGAAGTCAGTCTAGATTCAGGTTCAACAGCTGCAACTCTTCAGTTCTGGACTTTGTCACCACTGCCTGTGCGACTACGAGTTCTGCTACCAGCGCTGCAGCAGCTGTGTTGCGACTACAACACCGTGGTCCTGTTTACACACAGAAATTCATCTTCGTCCTCTTTGCCTTCAGGAGGGCACGCCTACTGACCAATGGAGAGTATAGCCAACACCGTGAACCAAAGCTACGTCGATGTCAATAATGAAAACTACCATCGTCCTTACACCTGCGAACTGACTAAGAAAGAATCATGAACACAACAGCTCTACTAAGGACACAAGAACAATAACAATACCAAGAACCAAGAACGCAAATGACAAGAACAATCGTCATCAACAACAACAACAACACGACAACGACAACGACAACGACGACAACGATAACAACAGCAGCAGCAGCAACTGCAACAGCAGCAACAGCAGCAGCAGCCAGCAACCAGCAACCAGCAAACAGCAACCACAACCGCAACAGCAACAACAAGATGACTACAACGACAGCAAGAGGCGTACACCCCCTCATCCTCCCCGGCCCGAGTCAGCAGCCAAGGCAAGGAAAAGTTGGGCGTACTGTGCACGCACCAAACCTGCCCGCACTCCGCAGGTTCATTGGGTCAGCGCAACGTAGGAGCATTGGAGGGTGCCTACAGGGTCTTGAGATTTCGTGCACATGTCGGATGCTTGGTTCCTGGGAGCTCTTGCTTGTGGGAGCGCTACCAGTGGCCAGCGCATCGGATGCACAAGATAAACAAAACATTACATAAGGTTCGCTCTTTGAGCGATGGATAGCTGCGATCCCTGTGGACCTCAGCAACTGACGCCCACTGCCGCAAGGTCGCCAACTCGAACGAACCAAGAAAGCGTTGAGGTTTGAACATGGCAGCTGAGTACATCATGGGCAGTTGAACCTTATGCAGATGCTAGGTACCCTTGCAGAGTGCAGCACCCCATGTCGTCCCGCTCAGCAGCCCTGTCAGTGTGCGTTTGTAGGGTATGACATAGGAACAACCGAACAACAGTTCTATTCCTTGGGCCTCTTTCGCCAGTCTAAACTCAACTAGCCGCGCACTGTTGGCACAGTCTCGACAGCTCCTTTCAAATTTGCTAGATTTACAGCTACGATTACAATCCCGATCCTGATTGGACGAGTGCTCCAGTGCTCATTACTGCCGTTACTACTAGTACTACACCTTTCGAACCAACGAAGTTCTCGCCAGAGCCGAAAACAACGTGCAACAACACCTAACCAGAAGGCTGCCCATACTCATTCCACTTTGCTTGTCTTCTCCATGCTGCCACAATACTGTAGCACGGGCAGTATGACTGTTCTCGCCAGCTTCCCATCTGAAACCCAGAGCTATCGGAACCAAGAGCTTAGGAGGGCCTTCACCACGGAGTTGAGCGGCACCTTTCAGGAGTACGTTGCTGTCTCGACCGATCGCGAGGCTTGATAAAACAGCGCCCACTGCTGTGGATCATGACGACCGGAGATCGTCTGGAAAGCTCGCCACGCTGATTATCGTTGAGAAACATACAAATCTTGCTAGCGGCAGCAGTAAATAGAAGCAGCGGTGGCGGTGATAGTCGTTGTAGTGCTGTAGCAACAGCAGCAGGAGCAGGGGCAGGAGCGAGTAACAATGGTAATCAGTAGTGGTAGCAGTAGCGACAGCAGCCATACGAATGGCTAGCAGTGATAGCGGTGCTCACTACAGTGATTGTTGCCAGAGTCGGTGTTTGCTGTACGGTTAAGCATCTTGGTACAACTGATCTCAGTGTTAGTTGACTACATGGTCTGCATATGCCTCCAAGAAACCTAAGACCAGGATCGTCGCCGCACATGAGACCATAGGCGGATCAATCTAAGAAGCTGGCTAGCGGCCAGGGGTCAGGGGGCCAAGGCTGGGTGCTTCGGAGCTTCAGGCTTCCTTCAGCTTCAGCAAGAGCCCCTCCTTTGGGCTTTCCTCGAGATCCTACGCTTCACACCGTGTAGATGCTTGTTCGCACGCTCTCATAGTCCGAGGACCCCACGCCGAGGCTTTCCAGACCTGAGGCAATCCCGTCATTAAGTTGAATCTTGGCATCTCATGTATTGTGACCTTCACAGCAAGCATCTTCTTTCGACGGCAGCAGTCCCCAAAACCCCCAAAAGCCTAAAACTTCAAACCCCCTCCTTTATAAACTGTCTGTATATCGTCCCCTGCAAAACTTCCGCGACTGCCGGCCTTCTTCCTCCTCGTCACCTCCGCCGAGACCCTCATCCTCAGACCGAGGCAAAGAGCTTCGCGGCTGCGATGTAGGCTTTAGGGACTTTAGGGCATCCCACAAGAGCCGACAAAACTCTCCAGGATCAGACCAATGGAACCTATGACTGTCACCGACATGACCATAGTCGCGAAGATGTTCTGGATGACCAAAAATATCAAGGCCAGTCCCTTCGAGCGAGCGTGCAGTACAGGGTGAACTAGAACCGCACGAACATTAGCAGGCTTACGACGCTGCCGAGGAAGTCTCTTTAGGCATACACATATTTATACTATATCTACTATATGTTCGCACATGCATTGCGTGTCTCTCTCTTTTGTGGTTCATGTCTGTGTAATGGTGGTGCGACAATGACGGTGATGAGGATGGTGATCATGATGACTCATCATCTTCTTGAGGATCCTGATCATCATGATGACCGCGACCCTGACGCTTGTGCCGAGAATGGTGGTGACTGTGAAGAGAACGAAACCAACGGATGACAGCCAAGGCGATGAGCGTGCTGCAGCCATTTCAATACTGTGGACGATGCTGATGCTGATGGCCATTATGTTGGGGAGGAGGAAATACAGGAATGCTATGCCGATGGCGGTGATAATGCTGCTGGTGATGGCTGCTGGATGATGGTGGCGATGATGATTGATGCGGTTTTGCAGCTGGTCATGGAAGAGTAGAACCGACAGTAGCATTGAAGGTACCTATAGTGGCACTAGAACAACTAGAAAAGATAACAAGGATAAGATCGTTCTATCACTGTGTTTGTTGCAGGTGTACGTTGTCATTTCTGTTGCTGGTTTGCGACTGCAAGCTTCAAGTTCATAATTCAGAAGGATTGGGGAAGAGTCACTGGGAACTGGAGAACTCGAAAGTTGCTGCAAACCATGTCCACCGAACAGCTGAGAAAATCTCAACAGCTCATGTTTCAGCCCTGTAGTATGAGCCCCTGGTATTTCCATGACCCTCCGATGGCGCCTCATCATCTTCCAGTGGCTCCCCGGCCTTCGACGAAAGGCGCAAATGAGGGCAGAAGGCGGTGGAGCAAGATCGCTTGCCGTGACCCGGGCTCACCATTTGGCTAGTTCTCTAAAATAAGTTCCCGTTTTAGGTCCCCAAAATCGTACGGCACTCTTACAAAATGGACCCTCAAAGGGATCCTTATTTAGAGAACGACCCATTTTAGGCAAGAGATGCAACTAGTTGCGGATGGCTCGGAGGAGGGGTTGCGTTTGGCTTCGACCAGAGCCTGTTGTGACCCCGCCCAGCCCCGGGACCCTGACACTTCAAAATTGTGCCCGTTTTATCTGCCTCGCGCGACGTTTCTTGCTAGGACACTGAGGAAGGCTGCGTGGCTTCGTGCTTCTGCTACGAGTATAGCTGCTGCTGCTGCTGCAATTGGTCTTGTGCTTGTGATGTAACCGGGTCGGATGTGAGAGGCTACGGACTAAAACACTGCCAGCTGTCATGTCAAAAGGAAGCATCTGCAGTTGTGATGATGACCCAAGTTCGTCACACGATGGAAGTAATAGCAAACGGACCAACGGAAACTTCGAGGCCGACGCTTGTGGGGAGCCGGCGGCAGGCCCCCGCCGTTTCTTGCCTGAGCATTCGGGGCGCTTTTAGGTTCGTTCAAGGTTGGATCTGGGCGATCGCAGTTCGGATGAAAGCTGAAGCATTTCGCTGCAGTCTTGAAGTTCGTGCCGCTCGTCTTCGAGCGTAGGCACCTGTGTTTGTGTTGGGGCGACCTGCATAGCTTGTCAGAGCCGCAACGAGCCCTTAAACAGGTGGCTGTAAACAAAATGTTGCTGATACCATCATCATCATCATCATCATCTTCTCCACGCGGCAAAAGATCAGTCTTCTGTCCTGCGAGCGCCTGTTCGGCTACTGTATGACAGTAGCTGGCCATTCGATTGATGGCAGGCACTAGTGCCCTTAACGGCATCAGCGTGTGCGCCGGAGCGCCGTGGTAAAGCTTATCATCCCAGAGCAACGTCGTCTGACAGCTGTGGGTGATAGAAAAGAGAACTGTACAAGCAATGACAGCTGATAAAAGTTCAGTCATCCATGGTTTCCAAGGAAATAACCAGCATGCTAGTGTGCCACTTGGTCGTACACTTGTTTCGGGTGGCTCGTGGCATCGAGAGCTGCTGCTGTTCCAGTTGGCAGAGTCGGGCTTCCATTCGAACGATGGCCTGTTGAATCGCTTCCAGGTTCTCTGCCAAGCCCTGAATCTGCATTCGTAGCAGCGAGACTCTGCTCGCGAACCAGTTGATATCTTCTTCCCTCAGCGTCCTGGGTTGAGGGCTCGGCTGCATGTGCACTGGCATGTATGAGATGAGCTCGATGTGTCGGTGAAGCAGCTGCGGCTAATGCGGCATTTGTCTTCCTGACAAGCACTATAACATACATGTTGGTGCTGACATGATCTAGTTGATCTACAGCAAGTTGATACGGCTGTTTTGCGTCGTCCAGCAGCCAGAAGTGCGAACCCGCTTGCACTACCGTCGTGTAGTGTCCCGAGGTGGGGACAGTGCCATGATGCTGAATGTAAGCGACCGGGGAGTATGCTATCCAGTCAACTTCAAGGGTTTGCGGATGTTTAAAGACTGGAATGTGGAGGGTACTAGGCATGATGTATGCATGTTGTAGCTTTCTCACTCCGCCGCCGGTTCGGTGCTGGAACCTGGGCAACTGCAGAAACAGCCACTGCGATGGTGCAGTCAGGCCGTGTAAGCACAGCTGCTGATGCCACTGATTCACAGAATCCTGTATGTTGGGGCTAGGATTGTCTGGGTCCCAGGGAAGGCGCATGCATTTCTGTGCAGTCGCCTGAGCTTGCGAAAGAAGACCTTCTGCAGAGAGGCTCCGGTTTTCCCAGTGGCCTTGGAGTGATGGGCCGATGAGCTTGGGGTGTAGGAAATCAATCAGCTCAGCAACATCATGTTGAGCCTGGGGAGCTGGCCATCCCAGAAGTTTAAACCCCATCAGACGACTTGCCCGGACGGGTGTCCCTGATGTACGCCCGAAAACCTGAAGGAGAGTGTCGCTCTTGCAGCCTACCAGCAAAGCAGTGTGCAAGCCATACAGAAATGAGTTGAGGTAGCAGCTGTTGCTGCCGCCCTGCAATCTGATACGCGGGAGCACAGATGGAAGGCCAATGGTTTCAGCGCCTGTACTGTCCATGCCTGGCTGATGGTGATTGAGTTGGCCATTATGGGTTTTAGGGATTAGGGAGTCAATCACTGGGGTAGGGTGTGTAGGGGTGTCTGAGGGCAGAGTGCTTGGAGCCTCGCTGGTGGCTGGCCCCCTTTCCGATAGACCATGTCGCCCAGCTTGTTGGCCATGGGCATGCTGGGGAGGGAGTCCTTCTTCATGGAGACCCCAATGAGATTCAGCAGTGTGCAGCTGGTCAATTTCTCGAGGGCCTCGTAGAGGTCGTTGGCTGTTCGTCCCCGAAGGGACACCTCCAGATGAAAGGTCGCGAACTGGGAGCCCTGCTGTTCCAGCAGGCTCATTCGTTGGGTCGCTGCAAATCGTTGGATTGCATCGCCTTTGAGGTTCTGGAGCAGGAAGTTCAACAATCTGATGGCCTCGTCGTGCTGGAGGGGGGTGCAGTTCGGGTCGACTTGGAGCTTGCGTTCCTGTCGATTCTATACGCGATAGTTCCAGGCTCCGGTGCTCGAGAGCCATTCGGACTGAATGTGTTTGGCCTTGGCCTCTTCCGTGGCGACCGCTTGCTGGGCTAAGTTCATCACCTCGCGCAGCATGCTGGCCAGTAAGACCGTTCTGAGAGGGGACTGTAGGGCCTCTTCGTCTGAGTCCTTCTTGGTTCGCCAGTCCTTGGCTATCTTCATCAAGGTGCCCAGGGTCCCGTTGGCCTCGTTCCGCCTGAAGAGGACAAAGATTTTCTCGTGGCGAAGCCGGCTGATAATCTCCTCCTGCTTCAGGACCACCTTGCTTAGAAGGTTGAGCTGGTCCTGCGGGCCGTGTAGGGCTTGTGGTCGTTGGTCTCGGAATGGTTGTGGGGAGGAGTAGCTGGGGAGGCTGTCCATCCGCCTCTGTGGCATGTTCCATCGAGGCTGTTGTTCCGGCCGGTGGCGCTTGTGTGAGCGATTGGCTGTCTCTGACAGGTAGTACTCCTCTGGTGGGGAGTCCCAGTTGCCTGCGAAGATCTCCACCTCCTCGTTGATGGCATGTGGGTCGCCCCTGTCCACGTACATCCTGGCAGTAAAGTCGAGCTAGAGTCAGCTGAATAAGCGGAGTACACTGCTGAGTGTGCCTGTGCGGGGCTCCAACGCGGTGGCCACACCAGATGCAGGCACTGTCTCTTCTAAGATGCGACTTGAAGGCTTCGCACAGTTTGAGCGCTCGTGGGAGCAGGTCGGGGTGTGCCGTTGCATGTATGCGATTGTAGTGCTGCTTGACGTGTCTGAAGGATGCTATCCACATATGACACAGAGCACAATGACTTTTGAGCTCGAGACGGACAGCTGGCATGGCAAGCCAGTATTCAACATCCTGACACCTATTTTGGAAAGCAGGTCGGCGCACGAGTGGCAGATTTTTGCTGTCGGCATCTGCAAAAATTGGAAGCTGTGCCGTCGGCGGCTGCTTGATCGCGGCCGGCAGGGAATCTGGCATCGGGGATCGAACATGACTGGCCCCTCCTAGAGCTGGGCACGCACTGCTCTCTATGTGCTGCTCAAGATGTGTCCACCTGAAGAATTGACGATTGCAGAGGCGGCAGGCTGGCATTCCCGCCTGCGAGTGGACTGCCGGGTCGAAGGTTGTGGGGTTTTTGGTACTCACCTGGGGGAGATGCTTGTGCTGCAGGCTGCAATGTATACGCATGGCATTTTCCGTGGGAAATGCCTTGTCACAGCGAGGACAATTGACAGGAGGTAGTTCAGGTGTTTCGGTCATCAAGGTCCTGGCGGCCTTCAGGAGTATGGCTTCCAGGTTGGTGGCCTGCTTGTCCAGGAAGTCGAGGGCCTGTGGCGTGGTTGTGATGTCCGGGTCGACGGTTTGCTTGGTTATGAGCCTTTGCTGATGCAGTAGAAGTGCTTGCTGCAGTTGCCAGCCGGGAAGTGGGAGTCTGGCCTGGGACCAGACAGCTTGATTCGTGACATGGGTGAGGTGCGAGGGTACCCGAAGTATGGCCCTAAGGTGACGGGTGAGAAGGGTGGTGAGACGATGGAGGGTGTGGGCCGTAACACCCACGATGTGCTGTGAGTAGAAGACACTTGTGCACACGCAAGCTCGCCACAATCGGATTCGATGCACTGCACCTAAGTGAGGGGATCCGTTCAACAGCTTCCGCAAGCCTTGGTAGCGTTGCTGACAAGCTTTGATGCGATGTGTCATATTACGCTCCAGCCTTCTGTGGTATGTGACAACAGTACCTAAGTACTCATGCTGGTCTTTGATTGGCACGCTACAGTCGCGATCGTTCACACGAAGTTTGAGATGCAGCTGCCCTGCCTTCATGAAGGTGTGGTCACGCTTGAGTCGGCTGGCCTCCTTGCCCGTCAGCTTTAGGAGGATGGCTGTTTTGCTGTAATTGACTGTCATGCATAATTGCTCAAGGGTAGATAGAATCAATGCAACGTCGGCAAGTGCGGCTTCTAAGTCCGATTCCGAAGTGATGATCCACGCTCCCCACACATCATCCGCGAAGAGGGAGAGTATACGTTGAATCCAATCTAAGCTTCGTTGTTGCTGCAACAGAGCAACAGAGTGAAGAAGGCCAAGGTGAAGAAATTCCAGAGATATGGGGCTATAACACATCCTTGTTTTATTCCGTTGGTGCTTAGGGTGGAACCCTTAACATTCCCAACCTGAAATTTATACAAGGCGTCCTTGTGCAATTGCTGCACCAGGGTGATGACATCCTGGGGGACCTGCTGTTGTTTCATGGTGTGGTAGATGTGTGAACGGGTCACCCCATCAAAAGCACGAGAAAGGTCCAAGGAGATGCATAGGCCCCCTGCACAGAGACGACCACGTCTCCCGGCTTGCTGCTGGAAGCGGTTGGCCTTAGTCTGTTGTAGCAGGTTGTCCACTTGGTGGAAATGACTGTGTGCCTTGGCGATGGCATCGGCTGTGCCGCGTTGCTTGGCATAGGCGAACTGGGGTAGATCCTTGAGCTGTGGTTGCAGATGCTGAAGAAGTTGATCACGCAAGCTGCCTGCTAATGCCTTGCTGGCCGGACTGGTCAACCCTATTGGTCGTAAGGATGCTACCTTGTCGGGTGGCTTGTTGGGCTTCGGAATCCAGACGACATACGAGTTCTTCCAGTCCTCATCCAGTTGGGCAGCAGTGCCCTGTTGAAGGTGGCTTCGCAAGGCCGAGCTGAGTGTGCTGCCGACAGCTTGTGCACAGAGCTTCCAGGTGGCTGACGGGGCCACGTGCTTGGGGACAGCTTTGGCGATGCCTAGTTTGCGAAGCTCAGCTGTGTAAGTACTGTCAGTGATGATGTAGTCTGCTTCGAGCGGCACAAGTGGTGTGTCATCTGGGTGCACGGCGAAGGTGCCGTTGCTGTGCTGCACGATGGTCTGTAGTTCAGCTTCCCGGGTCAGCAGGGATCCGTCCGGGCCTCGGAGCCGGCTGGCAATTTGGCGAGGCTGGGAAGACAGCCTACGGACTATGAGATGCAGGCTTCGCTGGTCTCCACGTGCAGCGGCTTCCTCGGCGAGGTCAACCTGCATTTCGTAGAACTCTCGTTTGTAGACACGACTCTGTTGTCGGAGTTGTCTCGAGGCCTGAGCGAATTCTGCAGCAAGTCGCCACTTGGTGAAGATGTTGCGAAAGGCACACACACCTGGGTGTTTCAGACGATGATAAATGCCCCAGACGTGTCTGGCAAGAGTGCGATAGCCTGGCTGAGCACTGACACGCTGGTCTGTGGCTTTGATGGTCGGGAAGAGACGGCAGGTCTCCTCCTGCAGGATGCGGTTCACATGATTGTGTGCACTGAGTAGGTTGCTGGTGTCCACCTCCGGGAGGCGGGCAGTGATGCACTGCTGCAACTCCTGAGCAGCAGGAGTGTGGTGGCGAACGGCGTGTTGCAAGGCTGACTGGTTATGAGCCGTATGGGGAGGCGGAGGTTTTGTGCCTTGGTAGCTGTGGACGGGCATATGGAGTTGTATAGGGTAGTGTCCTGTAAGTCTGGTGGCCCCGATGGGGAAGGAAATGAGAGGATGAGCGTATTTGGTCTGATGTTTGGCAGCCTGTTGTCGGGTGAGCACAAAGTCAATCTGCGATGTGTTGTCCGGCGCATGATATGTGTGGCTCGGACTGCAGTGCCATGTGTTGGCCGCAACGAGTGATTGTCGTCGCAGCAATGACTGGAGCTCTGCATCATGATTGTCGGCACGACGGGTGGCTGATGGTCCAACTATTGGGTGCTCGGGTTCAAGGGTGGCATTAAAATCACCACAGACTACCAAACTGTGACGAGTCGGCACTCGTTGCACGGCCTGCTCAAGGGATTGCCATATGGTATGTCTATATTCCCTATTTTGGGCAGTGGTGAGCTGAGTTCGCCACACATGTTGGTAGATACCCAGGATGCTAATGGGTAAACCGGTGCACTTTAGAGTGGCTTGTACGAGAGCAAGTCTGCCCGGGTGCATTTCCTGTATGCGCGGGTCCTGGAAGGCTGTGCGGCGCAGGAGGAAGAGCAAGCCTGCAGACTTGCCGTAGTCTGCCGTGGAGCTCCTGCCAGACGAATGCAAGGCTATCCAGGGTCCCGAGTAGAAGTCACTGGTTTCCGCCCAGTGTGTCTCCTGAAGTACAATACACCACGCAAGCAGTTCCTGGAAGGTGGGTCCACTGAGACCACTTGTGTTCCAAGAGAGAAGGCTTAGTTGCTTGACCGGCCTTGTAGGTCTCGTTCTGCTGGTTTGTTTGGGCCTCAGCGCGGCGGGTGCAGCTGGTGGGGGGAGGCGACCTAGCGATGCAACTGTGTGCCACCTTCCTCGATACCAGGTGCCCTGTTCAGCTGAAGCATGTGCACGATTGCGGGCTCGCCTGTAAGCACGCTTGGCTGTTTTGAGAATGCCTGAATGGCTCGCTGTCACGATTTGGGCTGCTGACGCCGTGGTGTGCGCTGGTCCACGTTGCTTCCCTACAGCTGCCTGGGCAGCCGTAGGTTCACCTCCTGCCGTGGCAACAAGAGGAACCCTCACCCCACTAGTCTCTACGATGCAAATCAATAAGCATGTATGTCGGAGACTAGTCCCGGACTTGGGACCGGGAGGGCCTATCTGGTGAGGCTGTGAGATCCGAGGTTTATTCCTACAGGAAAATCTAGGAGCATGGCGTTGTTTATCAGGGTGATGAGGCAAGGGGCTTATGGTCTTAGGGAGAGCATGCAGGGATGCTCCTGCTGCACATTGGCCTGCTTCGGAGGTATGCCCAGCATCAGCTCTGCTCACAGATTGCCTGTGGGAGGGAGGGTGTTTAGGGGTCTTCTTAGTTTTGGGTCGGGAATTATGGCTAGGGGCATAGGGATGCAGGTGTGCAGGCCTCTGGAACGAGGCTGCGCGGCAGCTGCGGGGGCGACACATGGCTCGGGATTTAGGCACGGGGTCTCGGGGACCTGGATCTTCTCCCGGTGGAGGCTGCTGGTCGGCGTCTGGGACGTCGCTCATGTGTTGCCTCGTGTTCAAAAACTTGCCATTCTCGAAGTCGTTCGCCTGTGAGGCGCTGTACTGCCTCAACCTGCAAGCCTTGCCAGTCGCTGGCGTTGGTTCTCCGGCGAAGTCCTGCCAGGCATCCTGCCTGGCTTCTTGCTGGGACACATCTGGTTTGCAGCTCTTGTCGATACAGAGTGTGGAGCCTTTCCACTGCCGTCTGCGACGAGGGCCCAAATAGCACCAAGCTGGTTTCGCTCCAAGTGAGCGACTGCTCACCTTCGGAAGGTATTTCGGCAGCTGCTCGTTCGTCGTCGTCCGAGTCGTCAGAGCTAAGCCTTGGGCTGCTGGAAGAGCTGGTAGCCGCCGCTTTGGCCTTTGCTTTGGCAGCAGCTTTGGCAGCGGGTGCCATTGCCATTCGGCCAGGTCGCCCGGACCTGGCCGTGCAGGTGACGACTTCGTCATGGTGTCCATCGGCATGAGGTAGGTCATCTGCCAATGGAGGTGTCTGCAAGGCTTCCCTAGACAGCATGGCTCCTGGTGGGGGAGGCGGCCCTGCACGACGTGTTGCTTCCTCAAAAGTAGGGGGGCCATGCTGAGCATGGTCCCGAGGAGTGCGCTCCACATCAGACCCACTATTGAGACTATGAGTCTCCTCCTCTTCTCCAGTGCCATGGCTCATGCGAGGTTTCACCGAAGTAAACCCCCAGCCCCAAAAGAAGAAAGACACACCCCGCCCAGCCTACGAAAAGATCACGGGCACTCAGCTTGGGCCCAGGGGCTTTCATCATCATCATCATCATTATCATCATCATTATCATCATCACCATCATCATCGTCATGATCTTGATCATCATCGTCACCCTCTTCATCAATGTGCCATCTTTGCATCATCAGCACTACCAGTAGCATGATAATATAATTCTCTTCCTCATTAACATCATCATCAACGCCATCATCAACATCACCACCACCATCATCTTCAGAATCACCGGGACCATTTTCGTTATTAAAGTCATCAGCGACAGCACAGTCACAGGAAACACACCATCTACTTCCGGTATCTGTCACGATCATTACCATCATCTTCGTAGCAACAGTCGGCATTGCACCTGCATCTTCAAACCCCGTCACTGTTGTGACGATGACTTCGATGACATTAATGCCAATTAGAAGGTGATAGCGGGCATGATGCTGATGTCGACGACCTGGATCATGATGATGCTAAGAGCTAAGAAGAATGATTCTTAATCAGGTTGATGACGGTCATCTGATATCATGCGCAATCGCCATAACACACACGAATGACAGCAGACTTTTCAGCTTCGAAATTTTGCATGCCGCAGTGCGTATTTGGCTGAAGATGTCCCTCTCGGCGAAGCAGGTTCAGATAGAGTCAGGTCGGAAGACAGCAGAGTCCGTGCAAAGAGAGAAAGAGTGTACATCTGACAGGAACACTGCATCCCGGAAAATACCGTCTGCTCAT